ACACCTGATTCGTGCACGGGCAGCAATGCAAGTACGAGGAGGGATGGAAGCTAAGAGGAAAAGACCAAGCTCCCTGATGATGATTCAGCAAGAAAAAGGACCAGCCAAAGCCCGTGGAAAAGCAGTGCAGAAATTGGACAGAAATGGCAGTGAAAGGGCACAGCACATCACATGCATTCGTACATTGTCGTGGCGCTCCAATCCGGTGAGGTCATGCAGTGTGGCTGAGAGCAGCCTGTCGTCCACCATGTGGTGCACTTGCTGTGATGCCCTCACTGCTAGCTGCCAGCACACAGACATGCGAGTCACATCACATGGAAGGCCAGAAAAAACATGAGGAGGGCGGCACAGACACACCGCATATGAGCAGCCTGTGGTCCACCATGTGGTGCACTTGCTGTGATGCCCTCACTGCTACCTGCCAGCACACAGACATGCGAGTCACATCACATGGAAGGCCAGAAAGAACATGAGGGGGGCGGCACAGACACACCGCATATGAGCAGCCTGTGGTCCACCATGTGGTGCACGTGCTGTGATGCCCTCACTGCTAGCTGGGGGCACACACGCATAAGGAAGGGTCACGATCATCACACATGCGGAACAAGCATGAACACACGCAAGGGAGAGGCCGATTGAAATGAAAGAGCTGACTTGAACGGTTCGACTAGAAAGAGCAGGGAACGTAAGGCATAAGACGGGGTGGCGATGTATTGAAGCAATGGTGGGAGGGGAGCATGGGATCACGCTAGCTTACAAGAGATGCCGCCCGGATGATATCTTCCTCTGTGGTGAGCCTCCATGCATTCTTCTTCCTTCTTGCCGCCCGCTGACTGCCACTGCCATGCGCATCATCACCCGCAGCATCAGCAGCAGCAGACACCGCCCCTTCTTCCCCTTCACTACTGTCACACTCACCACCATCACTCACACCATCACCACCAGAGCCTTCCTCTGCCCCTGCCACCACATCGTCACCCCCTCTACCCTCCCCCGCCTTCCCCTCATCCCCCTCGCTTCCCTCCACTCCCACACCTCCTCCTCCTCCTCTCCCCCAGTTCGTCCTCACTGCCCCCATTGCACCCATCCCTCCCGTGCCTTCCAGAGCGACCAGCAACCGGCTCACATCGGTCAGCATCTGCTGCTCCTCGTGCCACTGCTGCCCCCACGCCCGCACCCTCGCCAGGCTCTCGGCCACTGCTGATGCCAAGTCAGGCGTCAACACCTGTGCTGCTGCCCCGCCTCCACCCTCTGCCTCTCCTTTACCTCCCTCTCCTGAAAGAAGTAACCCCGAACTCTCTATCGCTTGCTTACGCTCCTGTGTCTCCCCCTTCTCCCCATCCCCCTCCCATTTTCCCTCCCCTCCCCCCTCTCCTACCTCCTCAAGTCTAGCAGCGAACCTACTGATTCCCCCTCCTCGAAGCATCATCTCAGATACCACCTCCCCCAGCTGCCCCTCCACAGCTGCCAGCTCCTGCAGTACGGCCTCCCTCCTCGCCTTCAGAGTCCCCACAGCCCCCCTCACCGCCCTCGCCACCTCCCCTCGCCCCATCCCCTCCATCCCCTCCTCCCCTCTCCACTCCACCTCCCTGAATCCCTCCCAATCTTCTTCTTCCATCCCCTTGCTTCCCTCTGTTGCCCACTGCCCTCCTCCCACGTACTCTCCTCCTCCAATGCTTCCATCACTACAAATTTCTCCTACCTGTCCCTCCTGTTGCTTCGGGCCAAACCTGCTTTCCTTCTCCCTCCGGCCTTCACCAGTCAGGCTCGGTTTCTCCTCACTCGGCCAGGCCAGACCCTGAATACCGAGCCTCTGGCACAGGTTCGGATGGGAGGACTGGGCAAAGGAGATGGCGACACGTGCCGCAATCCGAGCGGACGGACAGGAGGGGTGGGCGGCAAGGACAGCTGTCAGGAGGGCGAGAGGACGGAGGTGGTTCGGCAAATCAGAGGCTGCCAGGTGGAGGGCCAGGAGAGAGAGCCACGTGGATGGGTGGCATGGGTTGTCTGGTTGTACTAGCGCGTCCAACTCGTGTAGCAAGTCCTGCAGAAGAGACAAGGGAGCAGGCGGGGCACCACAGGCCGGAAGGGGAAGGAAATTCGGCAGACGAGGAATGAGAGCTAGGAGGGTGAGTGAAGAATGGGAGAGAATCGGGTGATCGGAGGGTCAGGGAAGGATGGAAGGGTATCGGTGACAGCAAGGGATGGTGGCACCAGATAGCAGGACAATACTCGAGAGGGGTGAGAGCTGTAAAATGGCTGACTGTAAGTCAGGCCAAGTTGCATAAGCACACGGGCAGCTGGTTGGTGAGTGACTCACAAACATGAGGTCAGGTCGGTCTGTCAATGCCTTCTGAGAAAACTTCTTCCCCCGCAGGTACTGCGCCTGGTGCGAGTGGGAAGCGAGGGGGGAGAAAGGGGATAAGGAGAGGCACGGGAGAAGCGGGGTTGGGAGGAGCAGGAGGGGGGAAGGGACTAACTCCAATGGAGGTAGTATCTGGTGCAGGCAGGAGACCAGGCAGTAGCGTGCAGCACTTACCTGTAACGGCAGCAGCAGAGGGAGCAGGTTGAACTGCCAGAGCAAGCGAATGGATGGCTCAGATGCGCCGTGAGACATCATCTGCACCAGCTCCATTTGCATACGAGACTGTGATGAGCAGGAGAGGAGGAGACGACAGAGAGAAGGGGAGGAGGAATGGAGGAAGAGGGTGAGACATGACGTGTGATCATGAAAGTGGCAAGCGGGATCAAGCTGCAAGAGAACGGGAAACGTGAGCAAGAAGAGGAGAGACATGGACGAACCAGGTGATGCACGAGAACGATTGCAGAGAGCACGTGGCAGCACCTGATTGAGCGTGGCAGCACCTGAGGTAGAGTGGCGACAGCGGGCAGGGTGGAGGGCGCCTTGAGAGCCCGAGTCACCCCTGTGCTCAGACGGAAGCCCAGGCGCGCTGCCAGGCGAATGGCCCTCACACACCGCGCTGGTGGGCGCAGTGCAATGACAGGGAGGTGGGGGGGAGGGAAGGAGGCTGCTCAGGAGGGTGTTCAGGACCGCGCTGGTGGATGTGGTCAAAAGCGGGGGAAGGGGAGGGGACAGGCAGGTTGTTCAGGAGACCATTCAAGTCCTGCAGGTTCTTTACTCTGCCCTGATTTCAGGAAAACAACGCAGAGCAGGAATATAAGACAAGAGAGACCACTAGGCCGACCTTGACTTGGCTTGACTTGACTTGGCTTGACTTGACTTGAGTGCAACTCACCAGGGTCCTCCTGGAAGCTGGCTCGCGTGTCGCCAATGACTCGCACCTGATGGTGGCCGGACAGACGAGCACAGAGAAAGGCTATACAGAAACAGAGCAAGAGAAAGTGCATCTCAAGCTGGAGAGGAGCACAGCAGAGCGGCAAGGCAAGTGGGCGGAGCAACGGAGAAGGTGCCAAGCAGAGAGAATCACACGTGCTTCTTCCACAGGCGTGGTTTGACACGTCTCATGGCTGAAGAATCACACGTGCTTCTTCCACAGGCGTGGTTTGACACGTCTCATGGCTGAAGAATCACACGTGCTTCTTCCACAGGCGTGGTTTGACACGTCTCATGGCTGAAGAATCACACGTGCTTCTTCCACAGGCGTGGTTTGACACGTCTCATGGCTGAAGAATCACACGTGCTTCTTCCACAGGCGTGGTTTGACACGTCTCATGGCTGAAGAATCACACGTGCTTCTTCCAAAGGCAAGGCCTCCAACAGAATGACATGCATTCCTCGTGCAAGCAAGGGCACTGACGGTCTGTTTGTAGAGGTCCCGGGTGCCGCCCACATAGTCAAACAGCATGTGGCGATGCGGGTCGAAGAACAGGCTGCATGGAGCGGGAGGGGGTGAGACGGGCGCGCTTGAGGTCACTTGTGAGTCAACCCAAAGGTCACAGAGCATGGGTGCCGCCCACATAGTCAAACAGCATGTGGCGGTGCGGGTCGAAGAACAGGCTGTGCGGAGGGGGAGGGAGCGGAAATAGGAGGCAAATTGTGAGTCAACTCAGAGGTCACGACGAGGATGGGTGCAAGAGGGGTTGCTTGAGATGGCAACGACGGGACAAAAGCAATTATTTGCTAACCCAGCACCAGCTTTCACAACTGGCATCCCTCACCCTCAGCATTAGCATCAGCATCAGAGCATCAGCATCAGCATCACCATCAGCATCAGCATCAGCATGAGCATCAGAGCATCAGCATTGGCATCAGCATCAGCATGAGCATGAGCATGAGCATGAGCATCAGAGCATCAGCATCAGCATCAGCATCAGCATCAGAGTATCAGCATCAGCATCAGCATCAGAGCATCAGCATCAGCATCAGCATCATATCAGCATCAGTATCAGCATCAGCATCAGAGCATCAGCATCGGCATCAGCATCAGCATAAGCATCAGCATCAGCATCATATCAGCATCATATCAACATCTACGTTGCTAAATACGAGTACCGAGTATAATACGTTAGCGTATTATACGCTTGGTATATACGCGGTACGCCAAGGCTGGCGTACTGCTGATACGCAAAAATACGCTGGCGGGCAGCTAAAACTTTTTTTCCCGGGCAGGTATACAAAAACCTGTTTCAGGGGGGGGGTTCAGGCCGACAACAACACATGTCAATATTTTATTTCATAAATATCCATAAATACATAGTTCATCCACATAATCCCCACCCTCTAGCGAGCTTTCCCACAGCCTATTTCCTTGCGGGGCTTTTCCACCACCACCCCTTCCCCATACTCATCCGCCAGCACTGCATCATCTCCTTCCCCCCCCAGCAGGTCATCCTCCTCCTCCTCGTCCATGTTGTAGCCGCGGGGGATAGGGGCATCCGGGATGTTCCCGGGCACAACCGTGCTGGCCCCATCCTTGTTGTACCAATTGCGCACAACGTTCCAGTTGTGCGCAATGTAAACCAGGTCCGCACACTTGGCGGACCCGAGGCGGTTGCGGCGGGCGGTGTGGACGCCTTCC